ACTGCAATAGCTACTGAATTGATTCCTTCAGTAGTGTACACTCAACCCCCGAATGATTTAACTATGGTTGATATTAACCTACCCCAGTCAACTAGGGTACTCTCACCTCTTATCAACACACCAGCTCTCAATCCCTCCGTTCCCCCATCTCACAACAGAGAGCCACCTGATCCAGGAGATCCTATCCATGGCGACGGAAGGCAACCCGACTGCAGATTACCGACAAATGGAAGCGGTAAAGCACCTCAACCAGACCAGCTCTCTGAACCTATTGTTAGATCCAGAGACAGAAGCAACTCACCTCGTCACTTTCGTATGGTAGATCGAACAAATATGAATGACAGCAGAGCTAAGCTGGGAGGACAGGAAACTGAAGCCTTTCCACTAGTTTCAAATGGCCTCCATGAGGGCAGCGGCAGACGACCGTTGGAGGATCCGCAGCATCATTAAGGACCTGGTAACCGACTCTCCCTTAACTCTCCCATCCATGGATTTGCTCCGTTTACTTTTCTGGAATTGCCGCGGTGCCGGAAATAATACCTTTAAACACAATTTAACTGAGCTTGTTCGAACTCACAAACTTGAAATTATCATTCTCCTGGAAACAAAAGTGACTTTTAGCAAAATAGGAAATTTTTTCAACCAACTGGGATTCACCGCATCCACTGTAGTTGATCCAGTAAGAAGAATGGAAGGAATTTGGATAGTTTGGGATCCCACCCAAGTCAATGTTCGAGCTTCTTCTGCTAACTCTCAAGCTATTCGCACTACCATTCATAAAGAAGATTTTGAAGAGTGGGTCCTTGCAGCAGTCTATGCCAGCCATAACCCTGTTTTGAGGGAAAACCTGTCGAAGGACCTGGAGGCAGTGGCTAGGGATATGGAGAAACCATGGTTGGTAGCTAGTGATTTCAACGACTATGCTAACCAAGGGGAAAGACGGAGCTACACCGCTTCCCACAACTCTGTTCGTTACCAAAAGTTCCTGGACAGGGTCAATAATTGCAACCTGATCGACCTTGGGAGTTTGGGCCCCAGAATGACATGGACGAACAACAGGCATAGCCTGGCCAACACTATGGAGAGGTTGGATAGGGCTATGTGTAACTCAGATTAGTGAACCCTGTTCATAGAAGCCACAGTCAGGGTTCTTCTAAGGAAGGATCAGATTAGAGACAATGCTCCTACTAGGAGTGGGAGACTTATCGATCTCGACATTGAAGGGGACGATCGCAACACAGAAACTCGTGACCAGAGTCACGGAGTGAAAGACGCCGGCCAGGAAGGTGACGCACCAAAGACAACAGATCGAAGCGGATACTACAACGAAGATGACCTCCAGGTATGGAAGGATAGATACCTGCGGAGGAACGAAGACCCTTCCAGAAGGGATGCAAAGACAGGGGGCATGAGCGCTCCCAAGGAGATAACATTCAAGTATAGAAGAACTCATCTTGAGTGAGCAGATCCCGGATTCCAGATCTTGGATCCCGGATTCGAGAAGACATGATCTCAGCCTAGACAAGTAGGCCCGAGAAGATGAGAGCTCAACCTAAATGAGCAGATCCCGAATTCCAGATCCCGGATCCTAAAAGACATAATCTTGGCCTAGATGAGTAGGTCCGAGAAGAGAAAAGCTCAACCTAAGTGAGCAAATCCAAGATTCTAGAAGATAAGATCTCGGCACCTGAGTCCGAGAAGAGAAGAGCACAATGAGCAGATCTCAGACCCCAGAAGATAAAAAAGAAACACACAAGATTAGACTAAAGTTGGCCAGAATTGAAAAGTATGCTAAGGCTGAGGAAGACATGCCGGGAACAAAGGCGTTGGAACAAGAAAAGAGAAACAGCTCGCCGATGCGAGGCCAAAAATCAAACTCAGGTTGGAGCCAAGTAAGATCAATAGAGAAACCAAGGTCGACAACCTCAGCGACAAGGTCAAAGCTACATGTATGATGAGAACCCAAGTGGATTTTAAGTTCACACTGGGGGCGTAGAGAAGAAGAATGCGTTTACCACTTGTTGAAATTTGTAGCAATTTACAAGTTGGTTAAACCAAGATGATGTTTAACCGAAGTTAAGCCGAGATGATGCTTAACCGAAGTTAAGCCCAGATGATGTTTAACTAAAGTTAAACCAAGACAATGCTTAACCGAAGTTAAGCCCAGATGATGCTTAACCGAAGTTAAACTCAAACGATGCTTAACCAAAGTTAAGCCGAGACGATGCTTAACCGAAGTTAAGCCGAGATGATGCTTAACCGAAGTTAAGCCCAGAGGATGTTTAACCGAAGTTAAGCCGAGACGATGCTTAACCGAAGTTAAGCCGAGATGATGCTTAACCGGAGTTAAGCCAAGATGATGTTTAACCGAAGTTAAACCGAGACGATGCTTAACCGAAGTTAAGCCGAGATGATGCTTAACTGAAATTAAGCCGAGATGGTTCTTAACCAAAGTTAAGCCGAGACGATGCTTAACCGAAGTTAAGCCGAGATGATGTTTAACCGAAGTTAAACCCAGATGATGTTTAACCGAAGTTAAACCGAGACGATGCTTAACCGAAGTTAAGCCAAAGAT